CTTCAGCATAAGTATATATTAGTTGCAGTCAGCATAGTAGCAATCTATCAGGGTTGCTCCTCATTGTAGTGCATGTGTTGTATCACCACTACCTGATGTCCGAAGGCAGTTCATAGCAAACCAGCAGTCCGGATATAGATAGAACCAAAGGCAGTAGTCCACTGTGGTCTGGGGATCACTTCAAGCATCAAGTCAACACACTGGACACTCATGTTGATGCCACCAACCTTATCATCAACACCATCAACCTCATTACCATCAACACTCACACCAGACCTTGGTGTCATCATAACCTATGTATTGATATTGATTGTGCCAAGCTACCCCTGAACGGAGTGTCCACAGAGGTCAGCCAAAACCTATGATAGTATATACAATGAACACCACCCACTGTCATTGCACAACTTGATAGTCACTGGACAACTAGCTCATCAAGACCAATACCAAGACAATAGCTGTCACACAGTTTGATAGTCACCAAGTATCTCGACAGACCGACCTGGGTTCCAGGCAGGAGACCCCTGACACTCATCTTGTCGTTGAGGCCCGATAGCACTTTTAGGTGATGGTTGGCAACAGTGTTGAGCTCAGGAGTGGGTCCCAGTGTAGCATCACAGCTGAGTAGTCAATGGCCTGAGTTGCTCAGGGCAAATACTGGAGTATCACCTCTGCTCAATGTAGTGAGTTCATTTTTAACAGGGTAGGAGTGTTGTTCCACATCACAAATTGACCCCATTGGGCCTTCGATCTTGAAGTTGAGGATCTTGGCTGCATTCCACTCTTTGTTACTGATGAATTGGTTGACTCTGATTTGCATCTGTCTGCCAAGTTCAATTCTGTTAGGGAACAGACTGAGATCATGCATTCCATAATAGAGTTCACTGACACACTCAATCATGATGGAGAGAGGTGTAATGACTTGCTTGCTATCACCAGTGATGGCAAACTCTAGTAGGTTTCCCTCCTTTGGAGCATCTGGTGTGCCATAGACTTCATCAGTTATCATCCAATTGAACCTATTTTGAAGGATCTTCAGTAGCCGTGGAAGGAGGTTTTCCATTGGAGTGATGAAATCATCATAGAGGGAGTAGTTTACTTCTGTCATCATTGAAGGTGAGTTCAAGGATGAGGTAGTGCTTTGAGTTGGGCTCATAACCTGAAAGAAACTTGAGTCATTTTGGTCCCGATACTGGTGATTGGGGAGAGTCTAAGTATGATGTCACTGCTAGTTTATAGACAGAACAAAATATACTCAATTGACTAAGAGAATGTGATTTGAGTCTAGCACTCTCTGCAAGATATATATACAAGCATGCAGTGCATGCTATGAGTGGGGGTACTTCTACCTAATGATCAACCATGACAACTGGCTTGTACATGTTGCACTTGATTGTGACAATGAGTGGGACTGTGTTGTACCTGATTCTCTGTTCCCAATCAGGCCATCCCTCATTCCATCCCTTTTTGTCTGCTTACATCAACCAATGTCATCTCGTCGGATCATCAATTTCAATAAGTTTAAGTACTAGCTTCCATACAAGCAAGATTTGCACGATGATATCTCTCGTGCGGCTAGTATCCGCACGAGAGAGTACCCTTGGAAGAAAGCATGTTGGTCTGTGCGGTCTAACACTCCAAAAGTAACACACCAAAATGTGAGACACACGCGAGTTGCAGACCAACACTTGGCTTTCATCTCTCAACAACCTGCGCCGCAGCTTTCTTTCCTTTCTTCTTTCTTGTCTTCATCCTCGTCGATCAGCATAACCTACAATCACACACGCACCACTGCATTGGCGGCATACCGACGCAGCACCTAACACCCCTCACCCTTCGCTTTGGCGCAGCTGCTGCCTTTCCCTACAGTCGATCTCCACCTCGCCACAATGCCAAGCAACGAATTCGACGATGTCCTAACCAACCAACCTGTTGTGATCGACAATGGTTCCGGCTCCATCAAAGCCGGCTTTGCCGGCCAAGATTCCCCCAAATCCTTTTTCCCGTCCTTTGTCGGTCGACCGAAACACCCTCGTGTTATGGCAGGGGCAATCGAAGGAGATCTCTTCATCGGCCGCAAGGCCCAAGAACTTAGAGGCTTGCTCAAAATAAAATACCCTATGCAGCACGGCATCGTTACAGATTGGGAAGATATGGAACGCATCTGGAACCATATCTATTCCGACGAACTTGAAACTCTATCCGAAGAGCATCCAGTTCTTCTCACCGAAGCACCCTTGAATCCGAGGAGTAATCGAGATACGGCAGCACAGATATTCTTCGAAACGTTCAATGTTCCAGCATTGTTCACTTCTATCCAGGCAGTCTTGAGTTTGTATAGTTCAGGAAGGACGACAGGCATAGTACTGGATTCAGGCGATGGAGTTACGCATGCCGTGCCCGTATATCAAGGTTTCAGTATGCCGAATGCTATTAGAAGAGTTGATGTCGCCGGCAGAGACGTAACTGAATCTCTCCAAACACATCTCCGCAAGTCGGGTTACAATCTCAACACGAGTGCAGAAAAGGAACTCGTCCGTATCATCAAAGAAAAATGCTCCTACGTCGCCCTCAACCCAACAAAGGAGGAAAAAGATATCAGGGAACAAGAAGAGTTTAAACTACCAGACGGCAACACGCTTCGGCTCGGTGCAGAACGATTCCGGGCACCAGAAATCCTGTTTAACCCAGAATTGATCGGCCAGGAGTTTCCAGGGATCCACCAAGTGGTTGTTGACAGTATCAACCGTACTGATCTGGATTTGAGGAAGAACCTCTTCTCAAACATAGTGTTGTCAGGTGGAACAACTTTGACCAAAGGATTCGGTGATAGGATGCTGGCAGAAGTTAAGAGGTTGGCCGTGAGAGAAATGAAGATTAAAATCTTTGCACCGCCAGAGAGGAAATATGCTACTTGGATTGGCGGCAGTATCTTGGCAGGTTTGAGTACCTTTAAAAGGATGTGGGTCAGTGCGGAAGAGTTTAATGAAGATCCGGACGTGATTCATAAAAAGGTAAGTAGCATATTACACCAACAGCCCAACAGCAAGAGAGCAGTTACCGCCCAGAGACATGTAGGAGAGATACTTGGACACTAACACGATTTGCTTTGCTTTACTTTACTTTGCTTTACTTTGCTTTACTTTGCTTTGCTTTGCTTTGCTTTGCTTTGCTTTGCTTTGCTTTGCGTTGCGATTCTGGTGCCACTATTACAGACTTTTTGAATGATACATCTCAATCTAAGCCAGATACCCGATCATCACCTCCTCATGAACAGAATCGCTCCTGTCATCGTGTGATCAAGCCCGAGCTTGTGAGCGCGGATCGATTCCTTACTCCTTCTTTCTGCTTCCGACCCCTATTGAGCCTTTCAGTGTTGAACTCGCCTTCATCGAATCTCTTCGCCATCCAAACCCGCCCTCCTGTGGCATCGCAATCGCCTACTCTGCCTTATCACACAAAGCATCGGCGACCCTATCCCCATGCGTAGCCCTGAGACTGTTCCTCAATAACACCTTCACTATTCCACGTCATCATTGTAGAATTTCATCAGTACATCGATCCTTCGAAGAATGAAGAACCTCTTGATGAGGCTCGAGAAACTTACATCAAGTAGAAACAAAAGCATAAGGTCGGCCACTAAGCTTATCCACCAAAAACGTAACTTCAATTCTCTTCTCTACACTGTGACACACCAAAGTAAAGGTGCAAGAGGTGTCAGATGACTAGCTAAAAAGTCGCAAGAACGGGCGGGGAAAACAAACTAGCCAAGAATAAAACTGTCTTCCTGCGCTGTCCATGGTTTACGTATGATCTAAGCACAATGTCGTAGATAGGAGAGAGGTGCATGTTGGTATCATCCGATCTTGTTGGTCAAGTATGAGAGAGGAGGGTAAAAAGCTTACCTTTTTAGAAGGCGATCCACTACCACTACCACTACCACTGCCACTACAGCATCTGACATCTTCGAGCTTGGTTGCCGCTTTCAAATCAGCACTGATTTCTCCTTCTTCTTCGCCGGACTTGGTGAGAGTACGAGCTCGTTTCTTGCCTCTCTTCTTAGCCACATCTGCAAGTATGCCCGTGTCTTGATGCTTCTCCTCCTTCTTTCCAACCTTCTTCGATACTTCGTTAAGGGGACTGTCTAGCTATCTCTGCCTCTCTTTGCTACCACTAGGACTGCCTTGAGTCGAATGTCCACCTTTATCAACCGCAAGGCTAGGAATTTCGGGGAAAACAGAAGTAAGCTTGTTAGGCGTACCCAATGTTTCACTGACGAAAGTAACCTCGTCTTGATCACCATCACCACCTTCCTTCGACTTGGATGCAGGAGGAGCAGGGGAGACGGGAGTAGTAGTCGATGTGGAGCGATTCATTCTTGTTAGTCGGACTTCGAGCATCTGTTTGATGTGGAGAGGGGTGAGCCTAAGCGGAGTATGGTGTACTGTGAGGACTGAGGGAAGAGGAGGAGGGATGAGGGAGAAAGAGGTTGTGCGGGTGTTATATAGCTTTGTCCTTTGCCGATGCCGAGTCCATGTCGGGTTTGGGGGGTCGAGTGTTCCGCATTGTTGAGCACTCTGTGTGCTTTCTGCAATTTCGAGACTCCGAGAGAACAGGCCTGTGACCTGTAAGCTGAAGCTGGACCTGAAGAGCTGTAGACGAAATACGGAAAGCTTGTTTCTTGGATTGATGAGAGGCTTGACAAGTGAGTCTGTTCGCATTGTTGAACGAGGTCATCGAGCTTCCGCAAGTGAGCGGAAACAGTAGAGCGGATGTAAAAGTCGACACAAAGCGATGCACGTTCCGCACGTCAACAGACCTCTTCTTGAACTTGTTCGCCTCTCTCAACCTTACTCTTCTGCTCTTCTTCTCACTAACTGCTTTCTGGCCTCTCTATCTGTGTTCTCAGGCAGCACAAGAACAGCTTCTGCGCAATAAGCTCAAACAAGAACTTCTACTCTCCGCACCCCCCCCGCCAGCGAGCGAATACGGAATCGTCTTCGATGCACACTCTCACCCCCCTTCCTTGGTCCACTTCCATCTCTCTTGCCAATCTAGATAGCAATAAGCTGCTCCATCTCTTGCTGCAGTCAGTACCCTCTGCTCAGGCCAGACCAGATCTACACGAGCTTGACCCAAACGAGGACGAGCTGTGGGACGAGTTGCGTGCGACACCCGCACCTCCCACTGCACTGCACTTTCCGCATCTTGATGCGACTCAATATCCTTTACAATCGTTGTATGGCAGAGAAAGTTTAAGCTTGGAGAAGCAGGGTATGTTGGAAAATATTGGTGCGCTCTTCTACCCGTTCACGAGCCGCAGAATGGATCAAGAGGACGACTCAATTACAATTCAATCCGAACACACACCTTCTCCAGCACCTAGCACAACAGCCGTCGAGAGCAATGTTAAAGAAGAGTTGCAAGTGGAATACATGGTCATTGCTGAACGATGTGTTACTGTCCGCACCACCACTGCCGGCTCCGCTGCGAGTCAGGAGAAGGGGAAAGTCGGTCGTGCTCCGAGCAGACGCAAAGGAAGGAGCAGGGCTGCTGCTTCAGCCGGAATTTTGACTAGCCCACCGGTCATACTTCGCAGACGCACTCAAAAAATAGGAATGAGTGGGGTGAAGAGGCGAAAGAGAAGAAGAGCTATGCCTGGGTTCAAGTGAACGACGTCTAACGATGCCCGCCGAGCAGCAAGTAATGCTGTAATGTAAAAAATGAAAAATGAAAAATGAAAAATGAAAAAATGAAAAATGAAAAATGAAAAATGAAAAATGAAAAATGAAAAATGAAAAATGAAAAATGAAAAATGAAAAATGAAAAATGAAAAATGAAAAATGAAAAAGAAAAAGAAAAAAAGCTCGAAAGTGATTCAGTTGAAGTAGATAAAGCCGCACAAAGCGTGGAGACAGTGAAGGTAGTGCTTACGGCCGAGTAAAAGGCCTGAACATCTTAGCACGGACCACATGTGTCACAACCTACTCAAGGCAAATGCTTTGTTATGCTCCGCAGTCCGCCGCTCTTCTTTTGTATATATAGACTCCTAGCTCTCTCGCTCTCTCTCTCTCCTACTACCATCATCAACAAAGACACCTCAACCCCAACCACTGACGAATGACTCCAACACGCTGACGAATGACTTCAACTGATTCGGCTATTCATTCCGGCAACTTTTTTGCAACAATACCGGATACACACGCTCAACCCCCGCACTCGGAAGGAAATCAGTGAAGCATCTCTTACTACCTTACTACCATCTCCACCACCCCCCACCAAGTATCCACAAGCTTTATCCCGCTAATAGTTGCAAAGATGTCGAACTTCACCAACCCCCCACCCATCACGCCAACCTGCACCCCCGTCTCTCTCTCCTTCCCCCCTAACTGCGACAACCAAGTAGCAATCATCACTCTCAACGCCCCCCACCAGCTCAACGCTCTCGGTTGGGCTGACTATAAAACCATCACTCGATGTCTCGAATGGATTGCGCTGCAACCTCGGATCCTAATCACCGTTTTCACTGGCAAAGGTCGCTATTTCTCCGCCGGAGCAAACGTTAAAGATCCTTCCCGTACTGTTCCCACCCACGTCGCACATGCAGACCCGAACACTGCCGAGGGTAAAGAGATCATATCGGATTTTTACTCAGGCCGCGCACATGCAGGGCAAGGAAAACTAGCGCTTGCGCTCCGTAATCATCCGAAAGTTCTCATTGCTGCTCTTAACGGCCCTGCTGTTGGCCTAAGCGCTGCGATTTTGAGTCATTGCGATTTGGTCTATGCATACGATGACTTTTTCTTCTTCACACCATTCATGTCGCTAGCATTGGTAGCCGAAGGACTAACCTCGGTCACCTTCATCCAAAAAATGGGTCTGGGTAGAGCAACAGAAGCACTTTTGCAAGGCAGGAAAATGTTGGCTCCCGAGCTCAAGCAGGCAGGCTTCATCACAAGGTTGTTCAACAAACCAGATGGATTCGAGCAGAACAAGGATAAGATGGCTACGCCACCTATTTTGCAAGATGTATTGGAGATTGTAAGGGAGAAATATCTACCGCCCAACATTAGTGCTTGGTCGTTGCTGTATACTAAAAAGCTACTCAATGATGCCGCGTATGCTTATGCGGGTGTGGATGGCGTGAATCAGGCTGAACTTGTAAGTACCCTTCTTCCCTCACACCTAAATGGTACAAGATAGCTCGAGAGAAAGAGGGAGAAGAGACCAAGCTGACAAGAACAACTTTGCCTTTTCTACACATGCAATTGTCCAAATCACCGTAGAGGGGAGCAGAGAGTGTGTTCGCTTCAGGTGCTCCTCAAGCTAGATTTGCTCGTATTGCTCAAGGTGCTCGACACAAGCTCTGATACCGGTATCTGGCAGCCTCGAGATGATCAAGATGGACAAAACGAGCTTGGTTGCTTTCCTCTTCTTATCGGTGCCTTTTCAAATGTGCTTCTTGGCTTCTGCTTCACATGGACACATACTGTACGAGGACTGTTTTGCTTCTGTTTTCTTTCGCAATTCAAAGCATGACCTTGAAAGAATGCAAAAGTGTTTGTCACTATTGTACCTTCTCACCTCCTATTCCTGGAATCAACACCAGTACTACCGGCCCCAATCCCACCAACTTTATTGACACTTGCCTCCTTCTCATCCAAGCCAGCTTCGGCCCTTATCCTCTCAATCTCATGCAAAATGGGTTTGTATTCTTGATACTGTCCATCGGCCAATGCGAAAGCTTGTTTCCTCATTTCCTTCCCCCTCAACTTACCCTGGCTTTGAAGGATAGCTATGGAAGCCCAATGTAGTTTGGTCCTTTCATAGAACAATCTCAAACTCTCGCCTGGTTGTGGAGTTGATAAGATCTCCTGTTCAGTTCGAGCTGTGTTGGAAGCAACGCCGATAAATGCTTGTGCACGTGCGCGGAGAGCTTGCTTTTCAGCAGCCGACAGTTTCGATTGCTGAGCGAGTTCATCCGATGAATCGGATGATGGATCGAACTCGAAGCCTTCTGGCAGCTCGTCCCCTTCCTCACCCTCGGATTCGGAGGAGGAGGAAGAAGAGGAGCAGTCGGAACCGGAGTCGGAGTCGGAGGCGGAGGAGGAGGATTCATCCCATTCAAGTGCGTCGATAGGGCAGGATTGGAGACAGTTGAAACGATCCAGTTTGGTGAGATCGAGAGTGTAGAAATCGTCAAGAGTGTATTCTCGATTTCCAGATTCGAAAATTCCTCCGTAGACGTAGAGGATATTGCGTTGAACGGCGAGCATGACGTTGTAGCGTTCGAGAGGCATGCTTTTCAGTGGATCGTCTGCGTCTTCTTGCTCTTCTTGCTCTGCAGGTTGTGGCGGTAGTGGTGCGGGTTCAGGCGAGTCTGAGATACAAAGTTGTTCTGTCGATCCAGTTAAATCTTGTCCACGCTCACCTCCCTCGCCCTCATCATTGTCATTATCAGAAGGGTAATGATGACCATCCTCATTATCAGAATCATACCCGTTTCCCCTCTGCTGCTGCTGAATCTGCACCGGGTTGGGCTTCTTCTTCCTCCTCCCACCCGCTTTCTTTTTGGGTCTTTTCAAATTCAAGCTAACCCATCTTCCCATCCCTGCTAACTGATATCCATACAAATCCTTATGAAAGGTACTCTCCATCGTCTCCTCATCCGCCTCTGTATCCGTCACGCCTGCAAACATGACTCCCATACTCTTCGCAGGCCACAAGGCCATCGTACAACCACTCCTAACCGGATTCGGTGGATAGCCAACTTTCCTCCTCTTCATCCAATCCAATTTCTCCAAATCCTCATCCATCTTCAAAAACCATGTATCCTCCAACGCAACCCCTTGCGTCCTCTGCCCCTTGACATACTTCTTACAATACCCTCCATGCAGCACAACCCCTTGCTTCTCGGGCAAAAAGGAGAATCCAGACCTGGGAGGTGGACGACGTAGATCATTCTGTTTTATCTCGACCCATTTGAATGTATTCTGTGTATCAAATATCCACAAATCGTTGAGATACTGCGTCTTTACACCGGTATCGATAAAGCCTCCGAAGAGCACGAGGTAATGTTTCCAGAAACACATCCGATGTCCTGACCGTGCGGAGGGGCGAAGTTTTGTATCTATCCTCTCCCATGCTTTTGTTTCGATGCTGAACGCCCATAGATCGCGGTAGTGGTGGAAAGCGTTTTGTCGTGCACCGGAGAATTCGCCGCCGAAGAGCCATAGCATTCCACCTTGGGCCGGGGTGGCGGCGATTTGATGTGCAGATCGAGGACCAGGTTGGGTTTTAGAAGCATACGTTCGCCATTCGTTCTTGTCGGGTATATAACGATACATGTCTTGATAGAAAGAGACTCGCTCTCCGTTGAAATATTCGCCTCCGAAGAGGTAGAGATCGTTACCGAGTGGGCAGGGTGTGAAAGTGGCATTGGCTCTACGGGATGGAGGTCCTCCTACCTTTTCTTCTGATACTACGTGCTCTGATTCCCATTGCTCCCTGTACCTGGCAAGGAGAGCATCAAGGTCTTCTTGATCATCGTCAATGGTACCCTTCTTGGGGCTTTGTTTGGATTTGCCCTTGGCGGTGGAATTGGTGGTGGAGGATTGAGATTTTTGTTTAGCGACTTGTTTAGTGAGTTTGCTCGTAGCTTTCTTTTCAGCTTTTTCCTTTTTGGCGACTTTGGCAGCGGCTTTGCCTGCGGATGGCTTGGCTTTTTTGCCCATGATGAAGATGCAGTCGGCCTTAGCTGCGATATAGGTATAGTAGTTGCGGGTGATGGGCTAGGCTTCGAGGGAGGGGAAGGGGGGAGGAAGGGGAAAGAATCGTGTGATTTAGCAGCGAAAAAAAAAGAAAGCTGTCCCGAATCCCTAATCCCGAATTACGAATCCCGAATTACGAATTCCGAATTCCGAGTTTTCTTCCTTTCTTTTTCGGTGGATTTTTTTCGGAGAAAGTCGCCGAGATGAAAGTGCGTGTGGAGGAAGTTTCTGAGGAAATGTGAAGAAGTATAGTCCCGATAACTGGTGATCGGGGCGAGTCTGAGCACGATGTCACTGCTGTTTTTAGAACAGAAACATGTATACTCAATTGACTGAAGTGAGAGTGTGGCGAGGGCCTCAAGCTCCCCGCTAGATATATATACAAATGTGCGGCACATGCCCAAGGTGGGAGCATTCCTCTTGACAACGAGCGACTGTGTTGTACCCGATCTCTGTGTAGAACTTCTCCTCCGTGTCCCGATTACGTTGATGTCAGCACGTATCATCATCATATTGGATCGTTTCCCTCGGCAGTTTCCTCAAGGATCACGATATCGCGACAACCAGCGAGAAGCGTTGTCATGATCACCTCTTGCTGGTTCGTGTGGTCGTATTATCAATGCCCACCATCAACGATTTCATAGCAGACATCAAGCAGGAATGTTCTTGCGAGTTGGACTGATGCAGCTGCGATGTTGAGCAGGTGTGTGAGTTGATTTGGATGCAAAAGGACAAGACTATTGTACAAAAGTACAGCTTGGTTTCTAGACTGCGCTGAGGCTAATGAGGAGGAGCATAGAAGCGAAACGGGCGGCGATGTTGCCGAATTCATGGGCTGGTGTGCTGGAGATGGCGCGATTGGAGCTGCCTGCCGTCGAACTAGTGGTTGGAGAAGCGGATGCACCAGCCGACTCACTACTATTGCTGCCACCCGCCGAAGCATTCGAAGGAGCCGTAGAAGATTGCAGCACCCAACCGATACCACCAGCTACATGACCTCGGAAAAGATCTTGTGCCCACGTCGAATTGTCATGTCCCAAGCTAGTATACCACGATCTCCCGCTCCCGCCTGAAACCTGAATCCCCGCCCCACCTCCCCCACTAACACTCGGATCGGTAGCTGCATCGGTGTCCAGCAGCCTTGCTTCTCTCCACCAAGCCAGCGGATGAGGCTCCGGTCCATTACTGCCATTTCGAAAAGCTTGCGGGTTAACACCTGGATCTTGGTAGCTGGTTGCATTGCTCACAAGCACATTTGCTCGAGAAGGAAGATTGCGAGGATCCGAGCGGTAATTGTACATCTCTTCATAAATTCTCAGCCCTTGATCTGGCCATTTTGAAGTCGAAGGGTGTTGGCGATCCAGCGAGCGGACGGTGACATTTTGGATCTGGGGATGGTAATCGAAATAAGCTCCTACAAGCCTTCCGTAGAAAGGTGCACCGAAGAGAGTTGCTGAGGCGGAATGTATGCCAAAGTAGTTGCCTCCTTGTTGAATGTAGCGGGCAAAGTTGCGCAAGCCTTGGTCGTCGAGGACGGTGCCAGCGCCGGGAGGGTCTACGTCGGTGGTGCTGAGGAAGCCGATCGCTTTGAACTGAGAAAGATAGATGGGGTCGTGGAAGAGAGTCTCGTCTTCGGTATTGATGGTGTCCCAACGGAGGGTGGAGATGGTGGGGTCGATGGTTGAGGAGGGAAGAGTTAGGGAACCATTGCCGAGAGAGGCGATGATGCGAATGGCGGTTGGGATCGAGTCGTGTCGGAAACCGGCTGTTTTTGTGTAGAGGAGGATGCGTGGACGTGCGGCCGATTGGGCTGCTGTGGATTGCATGCACGCTATAAAGACGGCGAGTAGAAAGGTGAACAGGTTCCTCATCTTGCCAGGTTATAGGAATGCGGATGAGAAGCAAGGAGGCACAAGTGGAAGTTGTCGTGTGGAGAGCGGTTGCGACGGTTCTGTGAGACGCAAACTCAGAAGCGAACCAAATCCAAAATGTTAGGTTTCTGCCAGACCTCGTGACTCGTACGAGAATGCAGTAGACCTCCGAGTCCCGAAAGTCAAGTTTAATTTGGGAGACAGAGAGAAAAAAAAAAAAAAAAAAAAAAAAAAAAAAAAAAAAAAAAAAGTGTCTGGGTGAGTGAGCCGTCGCGGAATGGGGCAAAAGGGAAGGAAGGAAAGGAAAGAAAAGAAAAGAAAAGAAAAAAGAAAAAGAAAAAGAAAAAGAAAAAAGAAAAAAGAAAAAAGAAAAAAGAAAAAGAAAAAGAAAAAGAAAAAGAAAAAGAAAAAGAAAAAAGAAAAAGAAAAAAGAAAAAAAGTCGAAATTCGTCCGCTCGCTCATTCATTCCCTTCCACCACCATCTCATCTCGTACCACCGTTCCACATACGATACCCACAACGCCGAGTGTGCCAGTTTGCATCTCGCCAACTTCTGCACCAATCCGTTCCGCTTCGCTCATAGGGTCCTCTCGTTCTAGGCACATCTCTTTTCTCCAACTAGCATTCATCATCGCTCATCATGCAGTCTTATTCGCATCTCTACGAGCCCATGAGCCACCCCTCGGGATCTAGCTCACCGCATCCTACCTCTCCTGGTGCCATCAACATTCCATACACTCGCTCGCCCTCTGCAAGTCACCTCGGCGCACCTACACCAGGCTCGAGCAATATGGCACACAACCCCTTGTCATCCTTTGGCGCATTCTATATCCAACATCCCACCTCCTCCCATCCCAACCACGCACCATCTGCTAGCCATCATCATCATAACCACCACCACCACCACCATCTCGACTCTTATGCAAGCTCGGCAAACACACCTCATCAGCACCTCTCCCCTGCTGGAGACCATCGTTCCTCGTCGAGTGCTTCTGTCGCTGCTTTCTCCAATAGTGGTCGTCTTAGTTGGGCCAACTCGCCTGCTGATTCCTACCACGGCCTTCCCTCCAACGCCACCACCCACAGCAGTGGTACCGATAGTCACTCGAGCTTTGCCAACCAAAAGTATCCTTGGGACATTAACCCGGCTTCAATGCCAACCGAAGGTGGTCATACTGGTTCGCCCTACTCTGCTTCCGATCTTCTCCATCCCGCAACAGCCAGCGCCTTGGGTCTTGACGATGATTCCGGGTCCGGAGGCAATGTCCGTCCTCGCGCTCGCAAACGTACGAGAGCAGAGGATGAGCCGAGATCAAGACTCTCGTCATCCAGTCGTAGTCGAACACGTCCACGCATACCCAGTGCTCTCTCCAACGCAAATAGCCCTGCTAGCGATTTCCACCATAGCATCTCATCCTATCATGCAGAACCAGAAGATACCGATATAACAGCTTGGATCAACGCTGGAGATGCACAAGATTTCGCTACTTCCCATGTTGGTCTTGGAACCGCAGATCACTCCCGACTTTGGTCTTCATTCGCACCTGCTATTTCTACCGATGCGACGCATACAAGCCCTCATCACGGTTCAGCTACTGCACCCGCCCTCCCTACCTCTCGCGCGCAGTCTGTTGTGGGTTCAGAAGACTTTACCTACCACGCATCTCCAGCCATGCACGCTGGTCCTTCCAATCCGGGCCTCTCGATTTCCATCCATCAGGACGATCCAATCCATTCAAAGCCAGAACCACTCGCCGCTCTGGAAGAGCAAGTCGCAGCAACAGAAGATGAACCTCTCTATGTCAACGCCAAGCAATACCAGCGTATCTTGAAGAGGCGCGCTGCAAGAGCACGCATAGAGGAACAGAGGAAGAAAGAGTTTCTTGCGTACATGCAGACGCGTGAAAAAGCTGGCAAAGATGGTGAAATGGATGAGGAGGGCAAGAAACCTTATCTTCATGAAAGTAGACATAGACATGCGGTAAGGAGACCAAGAGGTCCAGGTGGAAGGTTTTTGACCAAGGCCGAGATGTCGGCGGCGGCGGCGGCGACGGCAGCGGCGACGGCAGCGGCTGCTACCGCCTCGTAGTCAGGATTTGGAATCCCGGTCAGTTTTGGTTATGACTTGTTCTACAGTATTAAGTAGCCTATGATGCAGAAAACAAATGGGCTGCAAGTATTCTATAATCACCCTTCACCTTAATATCATATCAACGGTACAAGTACACTGGTGTAGCGAAGAGCATGCAAACAAGAACAGTCCTCGAGGAAAGACAGAAGAAGGATAGTGAGCGACATCTATTCTCGTAGAGAGAGGATAGCTTCCTTTCTTGCAGCTTTTGGTTTCTTGTCTCCAGCCTGTTGACAGTATGAGATGCAGAAATGTGTACGATGGTGAGTATCGTTGGTCAGGTCTTACTCTCAACGTAAATTCAAGTGATGATGATCTTACCTTTGAATGTTTCCTCCTGTTCTCTTGCTTATTCTTGCTTGCATCCAGGATTGTCTTGTTCAATCTCTGCGCCTGTTTAATAGGCTTGGGTACATGTCTTTGTTTCTCGATCTTGCAAACCTCTCGCACAGCACTCCACTTGTTTCGTAGATTCTCCGAGTATTCTCTCTGAGCCATCTCTCTTGCGCTAAGTAAACCCAATTTTTCACTTGCCTTAGCTTTCCAAATGCGCAGGTTGCCATCATCGGAACCGCTGAGAAGAAAACGAGCATCCATCGAAAAGGCGCTCGAAAAAACCCTCTGCATTCGCTTTGTATGATAAACATCCCTCGAATGATTACCCTTGCCATACTCCCAGATGCGAAGTGTGCGGTCGTAGGAACCTGTTACCAGCTCCGTACCCGTGGGAGAGAAATCAACCGACATGACAGCAGCAACATGATCCTTATAGATCTGAGTAGCAGAGTTGAGGTGACGCATATCGAAAGTGTATACGTTATGATCTTCGCTTGCGACGGCAAAGATGGTGGGTTCGGTTGGGTTCCATGCGATATCATTGGCTCGCATCTGCATGATCATCTTGGTCAACGGTTTACCACTGCGTAGATCATAAAGCACAATACCTCGATCGCTTCCCGCGCTAGCTAGGACTTGGCGTTCGCTCATATTGAAGCGAACAACGTTGATTGCCTCCGGCCCCCAAGTCATGGAGAGTAAAGGGTCCGAGGATCCACCGCGTTCAAGATCCCAGGTTTGGATGGAGCAAGATGCAGAGGCAAAGATGGCGTTGGTTGCATGGTGGGTGAGAGAGTTGAAGGCGGACTTGCCGCTGTAGACGGTTAGGGGTTCGCTGGGGGGAACGTCTTTATCGCGTGTACTGAGCAATCCGCCCCTTCGCAAGCTGCCACCGGTGGTCATATCCGCATCCGCATCATCGTCTTGGTCATCATCGTCCTCCATAGCATTGAAACTGGTCTGACCCAAGCCATCAGGTCTCGGATCAGCATCCCACACCTTCACAGTTCGATCTGTCGAGCAGGACAACATCCGTCGACCAACAGTAGAGTTTCCGGTGGGAGAGATAAAGGTCAAAGGAGAAATGCAGATCGACTGAATAATACCGGAATGTGCCCTCGGATAGACGTAGATAGGCTTCTGCCGTGCCAAGTCCCAGAGTCTTATCTCTGTTCAAACGCAAATACAACAAGATACTGTTATCGAAGGCAGGCACACTTATAAGGAGGAAGAAAGAGCAAAGCAAACCACTTACCTCCATCGCCACTTGCCGAAGCAACTACATTGAGTCGGTTTGTGTCCTTAGCAATCGAATAGATGCCATCAACATGACCTTCCAGAGCACCAACAAAGGGTTTGGCAAAGAGTCGATCGAGTTTGGCAGCGTTAAGAGCTCGCGTGTATTCTCTCGGCTTGTCGAACGGATGCAGTGCTGGATCGAGGTTTCTGGATAAGGGTGCAGGATCGCCTTGCCGAGCTGCAGTATGGACGTCGAGCGATCTTGAAAGCGCTTTGATTTTCTGCCATCGTTCAGCAATCCAAGTCAGAGAAGATATGGAGTAAGTACCTTGGTCCAAAGGGGCATTCGTGTGGGTCGAGCAAGGTGTGCCAATGAGACGAGCTGCAAACTTACCATTGTGGATGAAAGAAGACCGCTGCCTAGGAAGAGCGCGGGGGTGGGGGGGGGGGAGGTCGATTCTCAGATGCGGATCCTATTCGTGGAAGTAGAGGCAGATTCGTAGTGATGGTGGAGAAGGAGTGCTTCTGCAAGTACTAGAGTGGCACCGATGATGAGGAGGAAGAAATGTTTAAAGTGACACCAGCGTGGAGGTGAATTCTGGCAAAAAAAGGGTCCAGAAAAGAAAAAGAAAAAAGAAAAAAGGAAAAAGGAAAAAGGAAAAAGGAAAAAGGAAAAATCATACAGATATTAATACTGATGACCAAGATCCAATATGATGATGTTGGTTGACGTAAGCGGATGCGATTGGGATCGGGCGAAGTCGATCTGATCAGAGATCGGGTACAACCTAGTCCCGCCAACTCGCACTCGCTCTTATGTATTTGTTTAATTATACATTTTTGAATTTTTAGTGAATAATGCTTGCTTGCTTACATAATCGCACTTCCGAGCGAAGATTTTGCGCGGCCCCGCCGCCCCCTTCTTGGCCCTTGATATCAAACGTCAACTGAAGAGCCTATCATTCATCAGCCAGCACCTTGCAACAGCGCGACATGCACCTCTTCTCTCGACGTATGGAACAGCTCTCAGACTCACTCGCAAGTCATCAGTGCCAGTCGACATTTGACGAGGGGAGAAGATATTTCCATGCAGGCACATTCGACATAGCAGCAAACCATAAAAGTTGAGCAACGACCTCAACATGCGGATCCTAAAGGCGCGCTCTGCGCTCTTGAGCGACTTCGAAGTGCTCAAAGTACTCAAAGAGATGGAAGCAGAGCAGAGAAACGGCCTCAATCCCACCTCACACATCAGCGAGATCAACAATGACAAAGATGCTCACCGTCAGCCAATAGCAATGGGAGACGAAGATGATCTGTGGCTTTCCAAGGTGCCAGAGAATCTGCGCACGATTCAATTCGAAGTAAGTGTTTTCGCTCTGTTCAGGGGCCTTGACCAAGTATGGTTGGTTCGAGCATGGCTTGGAGATGGCAAGACTGACAACTTAACGCCGTTTGCGTATGTTCCGCAGACCATCTCATCTCTCAGCCAAACAACCCGCCCATGCGCGCACCAGGAAGCAGACAACATCACAGCATTCCTGGACGAGCTCAAAGCTCGTGGCTACTCAGTCACCGACTCAGAAGCAAAGCGAGACTCACTAGGTCTGAATCGATCGGAAAGGCTTCAGATTGTCAACCATGCGCCACAAAGTGTCGTGGAGCTGCATACGCTCGTCGAAGAGCTAGAGGAGCGTTTTCACCCACATCAGATCGAGGAGCTGATCGCGCTAGTACAGACCTACCTTCCTATCCACCCATCTGCCCAAGTCAACGCATACGCAGCAGAAGGACCACAAGACCCAACAGAAGCCATCGAGGACGCTGCCCGCAACGGCCATGCTGAACAGCCAGCGCACATGACCGAATTCACTGGACAGCTAGCTGCAGCAGCCGACTTGGGCGGATCTGATGCGCATGGCCTGGCGCATGTTCCACGGCCTGATCCAGAAGGCCAAGCGGCTCATCTGGATTACGAACAAGATCCGGAGGTGGAAATGGACCAAGATGACTTTGTGCACGAAGCGCTCAGCGGAGGCGGAGTTGAGCAAGCTGATGCCGATGACTGACAGCGATGCACACTTGTCATCAAACGTTGTAAGCGTTTCGGTGGATTTGTACTTGTATCTCTTTCTACACGAGCGGTTTGATAGTGTGCAAGTGTTGCTATCTCTCTAACAAAGGAGGGCGAGCCAGGTGACGATCATTCCATCATTCGTCGTCCATGCCTTCGCCCTATGAATGAGGGATGATAGCAAAGTCGTCAATGCAGCGGATTGAGAGGGTGAGTGAAGCATGTCAGTAGCTATCACAGGAGGAAGCCAGCGCTGAGGTATACAGCCGTCAGGTGTTGAAATGCAAGGGATAGCACTTACCTCGAACTCGGCATCGTCCTCTTCTTGCTCGACTGCAGCGGAACTTTTGTCGAGACCAGCCTGTTTGAGAGCCTCCTCAGAGCTGTAGTCGAGCGGAGCATTGCGTCGACGTCCCGTCCAGACGATGTTGGATGTGTCGATCTCTGCAAGCTCTTCTTCGTCTTGGATGAGCTCGGCGAGCTGTGTGGATTGCAATGAAAGAGATTCTGTGTCAGCGAAACCAACTAATCCAAGGGGTAGCAAGTTTGGAGCATTGATTACCTCGTCATCGTCAATGCTGAACCCTTCGTCTTGTTCCTCTTCTTCGTCGTCATCGGCGCCCTCGTCGTCTTGATCGTCCTCGTCGACTTCTGAAGCAGTGGTTTGAGGCCAAAAGTGATGCAAGCGTTGTCAGCATTGTAAGGAGCGCCCCATCCGTACAGCTGATGGAGAGCACTTACCTGGCTCAACAGCTCTCGCCTTGCCTTTGCCCTTGTCGACAGAGACGGCCTGCTGTTGTTCGGCGACATCCTCGTTCCAAGTTGGGATTGTGATTGTGCTGTGGAGGATGAAAGAGAAAGACAGCAGGTCAGCGTTGAGTCAAACAAAGGAGTGCACATCACAAGGATGAGGTCACTCACGCTGAGTCACTCATGATTGCTGTCCGCTGTGATAGTGCGATGCTGATGAGGGCAAGCAATGATGAGGCCTCGATCGTCGACGTCGAGCATTAAGAACAAGGAAAGAGGTTCTCACTCCTTAGCCTCACTCCTTAGCCTCACTCACACGGCCGCATAGATGGCGATCAGTCGGACGATACAGAGATCGATACAGAAGCCATGTTAGATTGCGGGTCAGCGAGGTGGCTCGCTGGCTCAAAGGCTTCCCTTACGCGGTTGAGCGCAGAGAAGAGCGGGTCGTACAGGCCGAACGCAAGGGAGGGAATCGGGTGGGAAAAGAAAGATTAAAAGATTTGCAAGGTCGATCTTGAAGCGACACTCTTGCGGAAATGGCAAGATGATGGTAGCAAGCAGAGAGAAGTGCCGAGCAAAACCAAGAAAACAAAGCCGATTGATCGCCGGGGCGCGACGCGTATAGTCCAGCTCCGATGCCCACGCCAAGTCACGTGCGGCACCTCTTGGGTTCGGAAATCGGAAGTGAAATCGGAGGCGAAATCGGAGGTAAAATCGGAGGTAAAACCGGAGGTAAAATCGGAGGTAAAACCGGAGGTAAAATCGGAGGTGGAGAATCAGCTTGGAGCATGTCATTCCAATTGTGCTTCAGCACTCTTTGCTTCTATCCTTGCACCATCGCCCGTAACACGTTGCACGCAGCACTCACTCACAGACGCAACTCGAAATCAAATCGGATACGAACCATGTATACCTTCTGTACGAAGCCTACATCGATGACATGACCGCTGTGGCTTTTGCCGACAGTTACCTCGATGGGCGCTAAACTAGGTCCGACGATTCGCTCATGACGAGAAGCACAAACACGAAGCAGCACAAAAACCCAACACAGCACCGGCAATGCAGAGCTTGTCCCGGCGTGTGCTTTCGGATAGCCATGTAGTGCAAATCTACGAATGGGCTGAACACAGTCCACAGGCGGTACTCAAATGCACTTGTCGACAGGTGCGTCGTATCAAAACCCTTCCGTCCTTCTCCCATGCTCTTGGAGGTCAAGATGTCTTTCTCCATCATGAGACACCTGCTATCAATGCCGAGGTATGCGGTATGCTCGTTGGAGTCACGCCCAAGGAGAATCAGGTCATCTACCAAGTGGACGACGGAACAGCTGTGCTACGCGTCATTGAGACTCGTAAGTCGCTACGTCAGGCTGAGTCTCGCCTTCATCCAGCTGCTTCCAGCGCGATGATTCCTTCCGGCGTACCCGAGTGCTACATTATGCCTCCGCAGAGCAAAGCTTCCTCTTCGGCACAAGGTCTTGACAATCATTCGGCAGCACCGATGCTGGCTCCGCTCAACCCACGCTTCGAGGTGGCCGACATCGTACAATGTCTAGGCAGAATTCAGATTGATCGCAGCGGTGATCGATACCTCGCTCTTAAGTCGATGGGTAAGTAAAGATTCCATCTGAAATGCCATAAAGCAGTCACTGTAGCCTTTTGCTGACGCTGATCTTCTTTGTCCAATCAGATATGTGCATAGATATCAACGCAGAAGCGCTGCATCAGATTGGTGTTGTCAGGCTCGAGAACGATCTCTATCGCCAGCCTTTCGACCTTGCTCGCATGGAAGCGCACAGCACAACCTCCAACCACTCAGCGCCGTCTCGCAAGGCCCACGCAAAGACTTCAGTCCGGCAGCTGATCTCTGAACTCTCCCAGAACGAGCAAAGTACGCCTGCCATGGTGGCAGATGACGCTGATGAAAGCCAACAGAATCACACGGGAGGGCAACGTTTGTCTCGAGACGAGGCCCGCAGACTGCTGTCGTGCAACGGTCCCTTCTCTTCTTCCCCAGCAGAGTCTGAGTCCATTACTGCCGCCAAGTCGCTCAACCACAGCTCGCAGCCGCGCTCATCCCGGTACAGCGCCCGAAAGCTGCGCACACATGACAAGATTGCCGACCACAAGTTGTCCGAATTCTACTTCCAGCTCCAGTTGCAACAGCACATTAGCCTTCGCCATCACTCCGACTCGTTCACCCTCTCGGACCTCTCCTCTGACGCGAACCTCGCAGCCCTGGCAGGACGCCTTGTTCGTCTTCGTCTGCAGTCTCGAAAGAGCTCTCGCTCTTCTGACATACCTCGCCAGATCGACAAGGGTGAGACCAGCAGAAATACCAGCGAGCAGCCTGCAGATAAAGTCAAGCGCCTCTTCGAGTGGGCCATTCGCAAAATGATGCGAGATGGTTTTATCACTTTGTCAGATTCGGAACAATTAGGCTTTACAGCGAGCGCAGCTATCGGCCTACGCTCGCACCATGTCGAATCGTATCGTCTTGTGACGCCCGAGTATCTCCTACAGCCCCTTCGCAAGTTGCTGGGCACCAGTACTAAGTCGAAGCCGCTGGAGGATACAGCCTGTGACATCGACGATCTGACAACTCGACTACGCATCCTCGACGATCGTTTCCGCTTTGTCAGTCGCTCTATCGTTCAGGAGAGCTTGAATATGTACAACCAACGCTACCTGCCCATCGTAATTGATTGATTGCCGATCAGGAACACGAGTTTTTAACTTGCCGCTAAAGAGATTGATGTGCTGGAGATAACGATCCAGCAGAACGCGATCTGGTGACTGATCGGGGAGAGTCAATTGGATTGGAGATTGGGCAGGCCCACACAATGAAGACTGAGGGCAACAGTGACACATCCATTGTCATAGATGGTCATTAGGTGGGATATTCTCACAGACAGCCACAAACCAGAATGTATATAGATAGTGAGCAGAGAGCTCAAGCTACTGCTATGTTCTTTTCTTATGTCAATATAGTATAGTGTTTAGCTCAACAAGCTTGAATGCCATACTGTGACTAATACCTCCCAATAAGTGTTGTTCAGAGTTCTATTTTCCAGCAGGTTATGAGCCCAAATCACTGTTTTCACTACCTCTGATCAGACACTTAAAATGATGTCTAACATCAGCTACTTTCTATATGACAATTTTGTCACCCTGGTGCAAGATCTCTTGCCATGGTTGCTGAAGATCCTTCAGAATTGCTTCAACCAAGTAATGGTGAACAAAGTGTACGGTACCCCAAACTCCCCAAAGGAGGGCCATGTCACAGGGTCAGCAGGTCAGCGTATGAAGGGTGTGCCAAATTGATCAGCGGCAAATCATCAGGAATCGATGAAGCTAATCAGGTTGGTAGTGCATATGATTTATGAGACCAACCAAACTCTGGGGTCCAGGTTAATTTCACAATGATTGATCAGGATCAGCCTGAACAGCATGTCTCAGCAAGTCAGCCGACATGAGCAAGCATCAGGAGATTTAGGAAGGAGGATACTGGCATTAGAAGGAGAAGCATACAGAGATAACCACATGTAGGAGTGGGGGACTGAGCTCAGCATCATGTGGATGGTTACCACTCAAGGGGTACATGCATATAGCCACACAGGACCAAGCACAGGGGCAACCACATGACCAAGGAGTTTGGTCATGAGGTCCAACAAGTGGCTAAAGGGATTCACAAGATAAGGTCAAGAAGGTGGTTGCTGGTGAAGAGAGAAGGAGCTGTGTCAAGAAGGATGGAGATTGGTTAAATGAAGAGGAGGAGCTGTGTTGAAGGGGTCATCACACATCATCAGGCAGAGAGAGAGCATGAAGGTGAAGGGGCAGTGTTGCACAACCATTATGCTGTGCAAAGAGTAGAGGCACAGCATCAATGGGGTTGATGCCAGCAGGCAAGACAGTGTTGAAAGGGGATGAAGGCCTCTCAGGAGGAGCAGGATAGGTGTCACAGGTGACACCAATCAAATGCATAAATACTCTCATTCTACCATAGCATATGAGTGGATCCTCATCCACTCTACTTACTATATACTTTACTCTTTACTTGACTTTTAGTTATGTATCATTGCAATAGCAGTGCTTTGCAATGACCCTCAAACATGTGTGTTGTATCACTGTTAGGCATCAACTGTAGGTGGTGTTGCTTGACACCTGAAGTCCAGTCAGTTATTGTAGGTGGTGTCTCACACCTGCAGTCCAGTAACTTCCATCCTCTGAAGGCAATAAGCATATTGCAGTCCAGATGACATCTGAGAGCATTAACAACAGTACTACAAACACTCATACTGTAAGGAGAGTGTATCACTCACTCTCCAATGAACAATGAATGTGCTGCACAACCTCTGAATGGAGTGTTCAAGGCAGTCAGCTGAGACCTACCAGTACAAAGTCATCTGGTTACATTTAGTCAAAACATATCAAGTAGATCTTACTCAATCAATCCCACCTATACCGATTGGATAACACCCAAAACTAGTCTCTGGCGCGCGACCGCTTACAGGCCACCTATTGGAGTTAGTTGAAGTCATTCATCAGCGTCTTGGCGTCATTCGTCAGAGGTTGGGGTTGAGGTGTCTTTTGTTGATGATGGTAGGAGAGAGAGAGAGAGAGCGAGAGAGCTAGGAGTCTATATATACAAAAGAAGAGCGGCCGACTGCGGAGCATAACAAAGCATTTGCCTTGAGTAGGTTGTGACACATGTGGTCCGTGCTAAGATGTTCAGGCCTTTTACTCGGCCGTAAGCACTTCCTTCACTGTCTCCACGCTTTGTGCGGCTTTATCTACTTCAACTCCCCCCCTCAACAGCATATGTACCCTGTTCATTATGCTGTTGCTTCAAGGTGTGACCTCCGTTCTTCAACACTGTTGCATAGCTCGGGGACCCCGTTCCGTACACTGCTGCCGGTATTTGCAGGTGTAGCCCAGATCTTGCTTGCTGCATTGCCTGCCTTCCAATGGGTTTCGTGAGTACATCTGCCAAGTTTCTTGTGGTGTCTACGTATTTGATCTGCACCCTTCCCTCTTGTACGTTGTTACGGACGAAGTGATACTTGGTGTCGATGTGCTTAAGCTTCCAGTGCTGTGCTGGGTCCTTACTAACCTGTATGCAACCAGTGTTGTCCGAGTAGACCGTCGGTGTGCCTGTGGCAATGCCAATTGAGCGTAGCAGCTGCTTGAGGAAGAGCACCTCACGTGTTGCTTCCGTGGCTGCAATGAACTCTGCCTCGACAGCGGACAACGACACGCATTTTTGTGTCGCTGACTTCCAGGCTACTGGGTTCCCGTACACTAATGCCACTGACCCCGATGTGCTTCTTCTCTGTATGGTGGCATCGCTTGCCCAGTTTGCATCGCTGTGTGCAACCAGTGACTCTTGCGACTCACTTGCCCTATAAACCAATCCAACCTGCCTTGTGCTTTCGAGGTAGCGTAAGACCCTTTGTGCTGCCTGATAATGCTCCTGCGATGGTTCACGCATGTGCCTAGCGAGAACACCCACAGTGAGACTAAGGTCGGGCCGGGTGCTGTTGGCAACCCAGAGCAGCTTGCCAACAATCACCGGATACTCCTTCTGTTGTGCTGCGCTTGCGACAAGGGTTCCCTCCGGTATGCTCTGCATTGGGACCATGGTTGGCTTCGTACGTTTGTCCAGGTGCTTTGCCAGCACTTGGTCGATGTACCCTGACTGGCCAATCGTCATGGTGCGCATCGCACGGTCTCGACTGATTTTGATGCCCAAGAAGTGAGAGACCTCACCACTATCTTCCATCTTCCATCTCTGACCAATCTGCTTCTTAACCTCTAGGACCGTTTCCAGCCGTGGTGCTATGACTAATGTATCATCGACGTAGATGACCACAATGGCCATATCTTCACCCTGTCCCTTGGTGTAGATGCAGGGAGCGCACTCTACCTGGAAGAATCCCATGCGTCGCAAGGACCTGTCGAACTCCTGATTCCATTCTCGCCCAGACTGCTTTAGGCCATATAGGCCCTTGACTACCTTGTACACCTTGCCAGGTGCTACTCCTGATCCTTCTGGTGGCTTCATGTAGATTGCTTCCTTTAACGTGGAGTTCAAGTAAGCCATAGTGATGTCCAGAGCATGTACCTCCCAGTTGTTCTGCACTGCTAGTGCTAAGATGGCTCTGATCGCTCCGAGGGGTGCTACTGGAGAGAAGGTTTCTTGGTAGTCGATCCCCTCTCTCTGTGTGAAGCCCCTTGCAACCAGTCGTGCCTTGTGCTTAACAGGTACACCATCAGCATCAAGCTTCAGCCGAAGCACAACCTTAGAGTCCACAAGTGGTACTCCTGGCGGTTGGTGCACCACCTCCCAAGTCCCCATTGCCTCGAGTCCTTCTAGCTCCTTTCGTATTGCCTCCTTCCAGAGCTGGGCATCCTCACCATCCATTGCTTCCCTAAGTGTTGGGTCCAGGTTCAATATTGCTGTGTTGGCGGTGCCTACTGTGCTGTCTTCGGCTGTTAGGAGATCCTCCACTGTGACTGGCATGACACCCTCCTCCTCGACCTCCGCGGTCACCACAGGCCTGACTGCCTCTTGTTGGCGATCACTCCATCCTTTGTCCTCATGGAACGTTGCTGAGTTGCTCCATTGAATTGACGCAGGCTGGTCCGGGTTGCAAAACTTCCATGCTTTGTGTTCGTCGTCATACCCAATCATGATGGCTGGCTTTGCTCTAGCTCCGTGCTTGCCTTGCTGGTCCTTCTGTTGAACATGAACCCATGCCAAGCATCCGAAGACTCGCAGTTGCTGGGCCAGCTTGTGCGCAGTGGTTCCATAGAAGGCCTCGTGGGGGATGGTTTTGGTGGCTGACGGGGTAAGGTTCATCACGTGTGCTGCTGCTGTGATTGCGTACGGCCACAACTCTCTAGGGCAAGCTCGACCAATCAGCATCGAGCGCATCTTTTCTTGGACCGATCTGATTGCTCTCTCTGCCCGTCCATTTTGGACGCTGATCCCCGGGACGCTCTTTTGCCACTTAAAACCCTCTTGAGTTTGCCAGTCTTCGGCTGCTATGCTGCACCATTCTCCTCCATTGTCGCTGCGGAGTGTTTTGAGTTTCCTGTCCGTTGCCCGTTCCATCCTGGCTATCCACCTTCTCAGCGCCGTGAGTGCAGCACTCTTTGTGCAGAGTGGTTCCACGTAGATTAGAGAGGAGAAGTCGTCCACAGCAACTAGTGCATAGTGGTAGTTGGCATGCCCTTTGAAATCTGTCATCAGGTCTACGTGTACCAGCTCTAATGGTGCCTCCATTCTCTCCGACTCTGATTGGCTCATCCGTGCTCGAGTCTGTTTTCCTTGACTGCACGCATTGCAGTGCTTCGACTCATGTTCCATTTCCTCATCGGTACCTAGGTAATGGGCCCGGATTTGTCTCGTTTTGTCTCGTCCTGGGTGTCCGAACCTCTCATGCCATAGGTAGCTGTCTCGATGCTTCGTGTCCTTATTGCCCTCTGGGGCATTATCTAGTTTTCCTGTGTTCTGGTTGTCCTCTGGGACGCCATCTCGTGTTTCCTCCAGTTCCAAAGCCAGTGCTTGTCCTCGCACTTTGAAGTGGCCCTGTCTTCTGTCCCTTTTGAATTGTACTTGGGTACCATCGTTCTGCTTTATGGTAGTTCCAAATTCATCGAAGATTACTCGTGCACCATTCTCGATCAAGCCTTGTACGGACAAT